ACACACACATATATTAAAAAAAAAAAGATTACAATGACAAGTCATATATGCTTTTGCCAAAAAATGGGAAAATATGCAGGTCTCACAGAGAGCACAGAAGAAGCAGACATATTTATACCTTGAGCCACAAGACAACAGCCAACTGAATTATTGTGTGCATAATTTCTAAGCTCCACTGTACTCTCCTCTCTCCCCTCCTCCACTTTGTTTTAGTGGCCGTGTGAACAGCCGGTGGAAAAAAAAAGAAGAAGAGACTATTTATGCAGTGACAAAAAGCAACCAGAAAAGGAAGCAGAAAGTCTTTAAAATCAAAGTGCAGATTTCCTTTGTTTGGCCAACAGATTTTTAATAAACACAGCAGACAGTCTGCAGGAACTACAGGATCACATTTTTGAAGAATAAAAAGTAGATTTGCCGCAAACTGCAGGGCTGTAACTTTTCAACAAGCACTTCAGACAAAACTTTTAAAGTCTGGAGAAACGTATTGAGAGGCTCATCCTTCTTTTAAATTCTCATTCTTACAATCCCTGCAGCCACTCTGCGAGCTGGGTTATCCGAGGCGACTCAGTGAGTGTGTGTGTGTGTGTGCTTCAAATGTTTCAAACTGCAGAAACTATGTCACTCAGTACAAAACAAATGCACATAATGTCCTCTCAAGCCTTTTAAAAACTACATCCACACACTGTCATCTCTCTAAACGCGTCCCTCTGGCCGATCTCTGCAAGCTCCACAAACACATTCGTGGCATGTTTCTACCTCCACATAAAAAAAAGGTAAATCACACAGCGTAGTACAAAAAAAAAGGGGAAAAAAATCTCACCAGCTTTACAGGGATCCTTATAGTCGATCGCGTCTGATGTGGCAGTGGGGTCCACATAGTAGCCCGGATCAATCGCCTCCAAATCGATCGCCAATATCACGCCGAGACAGGATAGAAGAAACAAACATCTCGCCGTGAGATCCATTATTGTGGTGGGGGAAACGGCGAAAGGCGAGGGATAAAGGTAAAGGAAGAGAGAGGGACAGAGAGAGAGGGAGAGAGAGAAAGAGAGAGAGAGAGAGAGTGAGAGAGAGAGAAATGGGAGGTTTTTTTGGGGGAAACGAGATCCCTCCGGAGGGCGGGTTTTAAATCCAGCCTCTCTCCGGTGTCTTCTTGGCTCTGGGGGCAGTGATTTCTGTCCTCCAGCCGGAGCTTCGGGCTAGTGCAGAGTACTGCCTGAGAAACTTTGATGATATGGCAGCTCCACAGGGGCGGTGAAAATGCCCTTTTCCTCGGTGATACCACTGTGCATTTGTATTGCTCCCTGGTCGGCCCATGAGGGGTCCTTGAAGAGCCTATGAGAGACTATAATTTGGCTCACTAGATATTATCTCTTTCGTGAAGAATGATAATGTGGTGATAGTTTCCCCTCTGCGGTCTCCACAGTCCTCCGTTTATAGCTATAGACCTTCATTAAATCGACCAAAGTAAAGACACCATCATATTTGGCTCCCTGGGGCACGAGCTTGTTAAAAAAAGGGGCCCTGTGACGTCCAGCTTTGACTGTCACGTGTATAAAAGTGCGTAAAATTCAAAAGTTTAAATAAAATTGTACTTACATGATACATTTAAGGTTATTATTATTATTTACAGTTTAATTAAACTCCTTTACACTCAAACTCTTGACTTCGCGTTCATTTATTTCTTTCTTTCCCTTTAACACGCACGAGCTGCACGAGACGGCCTAGCAGATACGCGCGCACTATTTACGCACGCACATCATTCACACGTGCGCACTCCGACCGCCCACTCGCGCTATCACACGCACAAACAAACAAACAGGCAAACAAACAAACAAACAGACTGAGCTTGACCTTCGTGGAGTAGGCTTTACTCACATATGAGGAGTCACGAGCAAAACTGAAGTGGTTAGAGCGCCACCTGTCGGTAATTCACGGAACATTGCATTGAGATTAGGAAATAAACTAGCGACGCGTTGGTCAGCGAGAAAAAAGCTCAGAAACTGGCAGTGGGGTTCAGCATATAACCAGTCTGAAGCCATTTAAAGCCTACATTTACTTATTATAGTAATTAATGATGTATATCACTGATTCATTGGTTCTTCATCTTTACAATACTGTCTGCTTTTTTCGCCAGCAGCTCTGTTGTTCTCTGTCTCACTGGAATTATCTATCCTGTCCCTGCCTATTACATACAAAGCCGGTTTTATATAAGAGGGACGAGACACGCTCCTCTATCTTATCTGACTGCTGCCTATGTTTGGAATTTAAGACAGGATGTCTGCTGAGATGAGTGGGCTGTATTTATACTCTTGCTGTAAACACAGCAGTATAATCATCACACATGCGAGTGAGCGCCTTCATTATATTTTGAATAAGAGGAGTTTCTTAGCTTGCTTAATGCTAAGAGTGTTGAACTCACAGGACCAAATATTTAGATTAGCAAACAGGCAACACAGTTGAGTGTTCTTTTACTATGGCAGTTTCAAGCAAAAAGTCCATATACAGTGCAGATGGGAAATATTGCCTTATACAGTAGTTTAAACTATGGAACATGAGGTTATAGAGGAAACAAATGCAACAAATATTGTTTATCATGAATACCAACAAACATGACCTGTTCATATATTGTAGCTTTTTGTGTCTATTTTTCAAGTGTCTATTATTCAAAGTGAGCATTGCACAAGTGCACAGTCAACGCCAGTTACACTGTAGCTTCTGCAATCACATGATTATGACCAATAGTGACATTTAATGTGTTGAAATTTAGTCCTTACTCTAACAGATTTTAGGCCTGTCGTACAGTGAAGTTGCTTGTTATGGTGAAAGAAAACTGCTGCACAAAAAGCAATTATTATGATGAAATACTGTAATGATGTGAACGTAATGTACTATTATTACTTATCTCACAAATGGAGATATCTAAAATGCTCCACACACAAGACATGACATTCCCGGTAATTACACTTGTCATCATACTAGCCTATGATAAATGAAATGCAAAAGGGATCAGGACAAAGGGATTTAAACTTAATATACACTTTTTTTTATAAATTGTAGTGGTGTTATAACAGTCCAGGTTTATCCTCACATGATAGCATTTTCTCCCAAGAGGATAACATGTGATCATGTTGCGTATCTGGCTGTCAGAATTTGCTCATGAACGTTAAAGATGTGAGAAGAGAGCGCAGGCTGTAGCATGAGGACCTCCATAGCATTGTTAGTAGAGCCGGTGCTACCCATCTGTACATAGAGGTAAAGCATCGTAGTGGCTCAGCCGCAGCGAGCAGCGACTGCCTGGCCTTTTTTCCAACCATCTCGACGGGGGAGCTCTCTGGAGGTGACACAGGGTTCTGCGTGTTGTGGTGTGGTGTGGTCATCATTGCAAGGAGGGCACAGTCTCATCAGCAGGCCGTGGCTCCCAGAGGCCTCTGGCACAGCACCAGCTTACATCAGGTGTATCACCGAATGGAAACCGCGAGCCGAGATTGTCACTGCTGTTAAAAAAAGGCAGAGTGAAATGAATGAACTCACAGTCAAGAAAATGTGATAATGAAGCTATTTATATGAAAGTATTTAAGGACAAGGAAATGTTTGACATTGACGTCTTTGGCTCTAGAAGTTACTGACAAGAACTTTAGAGTGCGAACAGTATCTCCAATAATTTAGTTTTCAGCCATATCAGATGAATGCAGCGTTCTTTTGTACACAGCCTCCCTTTTAAATTAAGATAACACTTGATGATGTCGCTGAGGAAGTTTTTTTCACTCTGTATTCATGGCAGGTTTTTATGTGATTCCCTATCATGATTTTAAGTCACAATAAGAAAAACGACTACTCAGCTTTCACTTATTTATCAAAATACTAAACTCTAAAATCAGAGGGCATCTGTGAAAACAGCTGCTCTATAAAACAAGGTCTTCAATTAAATGAAGTAAAAGCTGTTGTCCACACTTCAACGTTCCACTCAGTGTGATTTGAAACAATAATGAACCGTATCAGTGTGCTTCTGTTTATGCACTTAAAACCTCAGTATGTGCATTAATTGCTGATTTGTGTGCAACTTAAATTGCACATTAAGCTGCCAAATACCAAGATGAATTAGGTAAAGATTTACTATTTAGGCTAGGCTATTAATCATTGATTAATTAATACTCTCCACAAAAATAGTTGTGGTCAGCAAAATTATTTCATGGCATTGTGGTTGCCATGGCAGTGAAGTGACCCATAAAGATAGATTTCCTTGGGTTGTATGGAAACAATGTGGGCATTGTGAAAGCAAAAAAGGCAAATGTTGCATGAATCAACACGTTGAAGCCAACACGTGCCATCACATTAGAGATAACAGGAGATGTAAGTATGTAATGCGCCCACATTGAGAGCCATTGGATGCTTTGATGAGACACACCTTGGGCTCATGGGTGCGAGCTGACGTCACAATTTCACCAGCTTGGCTGAAAGATCCCACTCTACTCGGCTGTGCTCCTCGAAGGGTCACCGTTATCGAAGTGGGGGCTTTCTGCCCTACTGACACACAAACAAAACTGCTCAGCACTAACAGCTAGACATGCTTATCCTCAACATACACTTAAAATGGACGGGCATTTGATTATGTGGTTAGGTTAGCAAATTAAAATAATAGCAGGGTGTTTGACAATGAACATAATGAGAAGTAAAAGCAAATCTGGAGTTTTAGTTAAGTGAGAAATACAACTGATTCACACTTAAAGAAAAAAAAAACAGAAGCGATGAAAACATGAGTTTGATTCCAGTCTTTATTGTAACAACAGGAACAAAGCTTGGGTAATGCCATGTGCTAGTTTTATTGCTTTTAAACACGTCTTTTTGAAAGGTCAGCATTCATACTTATTGATATTAGAAGCAGGTGATTTAATGGAAGGGTTTACAAATTGTTACCACATGAAGAGGCAAACAAAATAAACAAAAACATGAAATGACTCTTAAACAAACAAATCTGACATACAAAAGCAGCCTGGATTGAAGTTTTGGGTATCTTATTAAATTTGGTCAACCATACCAACATTGACTTTAACTTAATTCACATCTGTATCAAATGGTTTCATACCTTTATATTTTACATTTGCATCCATTTCTACATAAACATAATGTGTCGAGCATGAGCTGGGAATTTTGACCATACATTTCCCTCTTTCTGTCGCACGCCGCTGATCTGCCTTCTGATGCTGTATTAGCTGCACATCCGACTCTAACCTTGTAACAGCCATGTTCTTCCGGGCAACCTATCTACACATCGACAGAGCTGTCCTCTACTGCGGTAGTCCTCCCTGGCTTACAGACATCCTGAACTACTGTTTCCAAAACAAAGGATGTATGAACCCTGGGCATTCAACGTGGCCGTCGTGTTTTGGCAGTTCGAGACATACCAGCGGTCTGATTGGTGATGTGCGCCAAACCGGGCAAGCTGCTGGCAAGTTTAGCCAGCCCGCCATTGGTGAGCAGCTGGTGGATAGCGGTGGTTTTAGCCACTCCTCCTGTGGTGACCACAGGCACTGCCCGGAGCAGAGTACTGCTGCTGGTACCGACGGAGCTCAGGACCTGACCCTGGGGCTTGCCACAAACCGCCTGAGGGTGGAGAAGAGGAAGACAAACAAATAGTGTAAGGTTTAATCATATGTGTGTACAACAACAGGCTGAGGAGGAATTTCATCTTTTAGTCATCAGTACAACTTTTGCAACACAGTCTGCACATTTTCCTGTTGTATGTACCGCTGACATGATAAAACTGTGTCGGATTTATTGTCAGCTAATGGCGGAGTTGCAGATTGCACCCAAATGAAACCCCTTGACTCAACCAAGAGTAAGGGGGAAAAAGGGGGGGGGGGTTGCAAAACTTGGAAAGGCCCTATTTAGAGCCAGTGTTTGGTTTGTTTGTTCTGAGCTACTGATGAGACACGGCGGTATAACATCAAGGACCTGCTGTAGATAAAAACAGCTAATTCTAAGGCAAGGCAGGCACCTTTACTAGCCATTTCTGGGCAAAAAATGAATAATAAAGATTAGGTCTGGAGCCATAATAAGTATTTGAGCCTTATAATGCTAATTCCTGTAAGCCAGCAGTGTGGTGAAAGCAAACAAATCGGCTCATGCACTTTTAAATTCACTATTTTCTTTCTTTGGATTTGGAATCCACATTTTAGTTGACAAATGTTTTTTATTCTGAGGGCAGGCGTTTCCACGACCCATCACCTCCATTTGGTCCCGGACCTTCGGACTTTTCAGTGTGGTCCGAACCAAAATTCAGGTGAGAAAGCGTGCCACGGACCCACGGTCCCGGATCAAAAGACCGAACAATCCGTCTGAACTAAAAGAGTGTCTCCGTCCGATCAAATCTGAACCAATTAGTGTCTTTGTCTTACAGTATGAAACACTTTTTGGAATGCGCTTCGTGACTTTCGGACCGAATTACGAGGCAAGTCTAGGCAATACGTACGCCATAGAAGCAACACAGAAAAATAATACGGAAGAAAACCCCCGCCCAGAACAAGCAAAATGAGTGGCTCGAAGTACTGGCGGAGAAGAGGCTAGAATTCACATGTTCTCAATCTTTCAATTTTAAAATCCATTAATTTCAATTTTAATCTCCTTTCCTGTCGCGACGATATACTTTTTTGCACTACGAGAACGGACGGTGGTGGCTCGCAGAGTCATTGTGCTTGCAGTTAGTGGCTGACGTTGTTGCTCTGGTAGTAATCCCATAATTAACACAATCAGATTTGTTCATTCATGTGTCCATGTCATAGTAGGAAAAAGGACTACCCCCCAAAATGATTCAACACCTCAACGTCAGATCGGCACGCCCCATCTACTACGGTCCGGACCCTGTGGTATTAGTTTTAGCTAGGTGGCCCTATAGAAACTGGCAACTGCGTGAAAATATTTGTAATTGTATTCTGTGAATCTGTTAACTGTGAATGGCAGACAGATTCTATTGGAAGACATAGATACGTATTTTTGTATACAACACGTGTGATAAAAGGCAAGAAATTAACTAGAGATGCCAATAGAGATGGATTAATTCACCTATACACAGCATCTACTCTCGGAAAAGTGGTTTTTCATGTTTTAGCCAACTAACAAAATTGTACATACTACATAATACTCTGAAAAATATAGTAGTCAGTCAGTATAGTGTAAATGGTTCCTTGTGACTGGGCCTTAAACAAGCCTTCCACTGTGGTCACTCGACTCATTATGTAATGTAACCATGTAAGCAAGAGGTACCTGGGAGCTGCCTGTGTTGGTTACTGTGGAGGGCAAACTAGGAGCTTTGGTGCCGATCTCCTGAAGACTGAAACTTAGGCCTTGTAGCAGACTGCTGGCGGAAGACGCTGCACACAAACACAAAGAAAGTGAATCAATGGGACTGAAATGTAGGTGAAATCAATGCCAAAAAAATATTAACACAACAACTCCCACCCAATGCCCCCCCACAGGCCTAAACTAGATGGACACACATACACACACACACACAAACAGACCATATGAAAGTCATGTCCAAAGGTTAAGGTTTGGGACAGCGACAGACAGCGATGGCGCAAGAGGTGATCAATGATGATGTTTGCTTGAATATATTGTCCTCACACACTGTTCTTATCCAGTGTTCAAACTTTCATCTCACTCTGAAAAGTGGTTAGAACTGCACTGTGTGTTGAGGCTACTGTGCTGAGATTAGCTGCACAGAGTGCAAACAGGCGTGCAGGGCAGGAGAGGACAGAGATACCTTGGGCAGTAGCCGGAGCTTGCGCCTGGACTGGTGTGGAGGACCCTGACACCATGCAAGGCTGCACGCTGTTGAATGAGCTGGAGCCTGGGGACAGGGCACCAGACATCTCTGAGAGACTACCAGACCTGCAGTGACACACATAACCACCAATCTACTCAGGTGCTAACCCAGCAAATGCTGTTTGGCCATCACTCAGCTCACAAACTCCGAGTACACCACTCATCAATCCCTCTGCACCAGACACACATTTGTCCAATAGGGTGGGAGTGGGCATGGCTGCAGGCATGGTTAGGGGGTTTAAGCGCTCTATACTGAATGTGTAGCAGGACAGGCTAGCTTACCGCTGGCCTGTCAGAAGTCCAGAGAGCTCCTTGGCTCCAGCCACAGTCTGTCCCACTGTCACTGTTAAGGGCTTCCCAGAAACACCCACTGCATGGAAAAAGGATCGTATCATGATGGTCCGTTATGTAACTTTGAAAAAAAGAGACACTTGATATGGCCGTTCTTTAGAAAAAGGCTGAAACAATTACCAAGCTCTACTAGGTAGTTATGCAATACAGGTACCATACTTTTTCAGGAATAAATGGTTTTCTACTTTCACTTTTGCAATACTGTGAACCAAATGAAAAACATGTTTCTCTTCTTATCATTCCATCTAGAGATCTGTATGAAGGTAAGCTGCTCAGAATTTCAGATTTTCCCCACCGTCTGCCCTCTACTGATTTTATCGATCCGCAAGACAACAAAGAACCGTATCTGTTTACTCAACAAAAGGCCCAGGCACAATTTATCAATGTGTTAAAAAAATAGAGGATGAATCCTCCAAAGTATATATTAAACTACTGCTTATAGATTGTCATACACAAGTAATGAAGTAAGGATACCCGTTTTTGTACCTTCCTGTGCAGCAGGGCTGATAGTGCCCCCTGCTGACTCGCTTTGGGAAACAATGGTGACCTTGATCTTGGCTCTCTTGGAGGCTTTGCTTGGCGTGGGACTAGGAGTCTGCCTCCTCTTGCCATGGGACCTCAGTTCATCTCTGTCCAGGCCCTCCATCTGATCACTGGTCACTGGCACTGCACAAACAAACAAACACATACACACACATAAGTACACTTATTCACTAGACTGCTGAGGTGACTTGAACCTGGGCTGTTTTATCCTTCTGTAACCCTACCATTGATTTTATATCTTTTTTTAAAGCTATTTCCTATTGTTATATAATCCTGCCTTTAAGAAGTGCTCAGCAATACTTTTACAAGAAGTATTTTAGTATGTGACATTAATATAAAATTAGGGCAATGGAAACAAGGAAAGAAGCGAAGAGACACAGAGGAAAGAGATAGGAAGAGGGACAGACACTTACCAAAAATACAAGGAGGGGTGCCAGGAGGAAGATTTTTCCTCACTAGCATGTTTTGTTTCATAAAAGCAGCAAACTGAGCTGGAATGAATCGGAAAAAAAGCCGGAAAGGAAAGTTGTAGGAAGAGAAGAGACAGAGGATGAGAGGAGAGTATTTCAGTCACGTTCCATCTTGCCCCCTCAGATGTCGTGACGTGATAAATCTTTTAAAAACGTATGCAATTAGTTTCACATCTCACATACCACCCAGTCTGCCTAGCTGGGGCAGATTTTTGCAAAATTCAGCAGAAGTTGAGGTGAATGACTCATTGTGACAAGTTTACATAAACAAGTGGGGCAGATGTGAGAGTTGTGTTTAAGCACAGGTATCGTGGATCACTGCGCACATGTAGGTGAACGTGAATGCGCTCAAAGTCGGGTGTAGTGATGAACTAACCTTGAGCCTGCTTGTGAGTGAGTACTGTGCCAGAGCGCTGCATGTGTGTCTTAAGGAGCTGCGTGGCTGTGATCAGACTGGACTTCTGTGCTGGAGACAGACCAGACGTCTTGGGTTTGGGACTTGAGGTGGGACTGCTACAGACACTAGACAGATCCTGAGGACACAGTGAAGAGGAGAAACACCCGATGAGTAATCATTTGTAATACCTTAAATACACAATGTTATACTTTGATTTGAACATGATGACAGCCAGCGCAAATGAGGTCTGTATATTCCTCTCAAATGCAGTGTACAAACCTTTAGTATTATTAGAAATGAAAACCAAAGAATATATTGGATACTTGCATCACTGTGTTATGAACCAAACGCACAAAAACAAAGACACATACTCTAAATAAGAAGAACAAACTGGGGTCCTGTCTTTCTTAAATAATTTTCAGCAAGGAAAAGTTGGTATGACAGACGTGTCAACACCAAGGCTCACAAGTTTCTCTGAATTTCTCGTTCAAACCACCTGAATCTTGTAAATGGTGAGTGGAGGAAGTGAAAACCCGTCAAACACAATCTTTGAACTCAACAAAAATGAGAAAATGTGAAAGCATGTCAGTTCCTTTTGAGGAAGACAATGGTTTTTAAACACTCCCACTCCCACCACTACCACTCTTATTTTGCATCATTTTCCCACGATTGGATAGCTAGTCTAATACTTCCTCATTTTTGGGGATACAAATTAAACAAGGCCACCATTAGATGTGAAGCAACTGTATTTAATTATTATTCCATGTAGAAACAGAAATATTACTTTAAGTACTGGTTTGGGTGGTTCATCTAAAGGTTAAAATAAGTGGCACTTCTACCCCTTTGAAAATGTTGGTAACTGTAGCCGCTGTTAACTGACCTCTGAACCTGATGGTGAGATGGGAACTCTAAGCGCGGGGGAGGATGGTCGTCCTCTATCCATGTCAAAGGGAAGCTCCCGTCGAAGTCTTTTCTTCTTTTCCGTGTCCATGTCTCTCATCTCTCCTGAGCCATGGCCGTGGCCCTCCGCCCGTGTGAGGACACCTGACAAGAAGTCAGCTATCTCATCCTGCAGATCAGTGAAGAAAGAAGATGAAAAAGGTACTTTAGAGGATGAGAAACCCTCCAGAGAAAACTGTGTAAATTGAGCATTTACACTGAAAAGGACCAACCTGAATGCAGCGGTCCACCATGGTCTGTGTCAGTCCATCTGACTTCATCTTCGCTGAATTGATTCTTTGGAGGGAGACCATTTCGTGTTACTATTACTTCTGAATGATGATAAAATCCTTATAGTCCACTAGAAAGAATATGATATGACATGATTTCTACTCCTAAAAGCACAGATCAGAGTGGTGACTGACCTGATGTTGTCGTCTGCTCCTCCCACCACTACCATGCTGTTGTCGGCCCTCAGCTTTTCTCTGAACTCCTCCATTCCTTCTATGCTACACTGCAGAGCATTTTGGCCAACCACAAACAATACTGGGGTCTTCATGTCCAGCAACGGGTCATCCACATCCTGCAAACAGGGAATACATTAACATTCACTACAATTACTGACATGAAGACAAAAGTTGTTTTCTTAGTAGAAATGATGAAACAATATAAATATTAACATCTAAAAGTAAAAATGTATATCATTGGAAGATAAAGATCTTACCCCTCGTGGCCCGTTGACTGTAAGCAGGGGGAAGCCGAGACACACCACAGCGGTCAGATACTCCATAAGGGATACCTGTAATATATCAGTATTAGTCAAATTATTTGCATTATTTCCAGGGGTGAAAACCACATTTCCTCACATTAGATCACTGTGATAGGTTATAAAAAGTCTTACGTGACAAGCGATGAGAGCACCAGCGTTCCAGCCGACCAGAATGATGGGTTTGTGTGGAAAGTGACTGTGAACCTGTTGGTTAAAACACATGATCAGTACAGCTGCAGATATGATCACTGAGGTGTTAAAAAAACACTGCTGAGACGAGATGGTGGTTGGTGATGGTTTAATGTGCACATTAGGGTTGCAACTAACGATTATTTTCACTATCGATTAATCTGTTGATCATTTTCCCAATTAATCGATTAGTTGTTTGGTCCATAAAATGTCAGGAAATTGTGAAAAATGTTGATCACTCTTTCTCAAAGCCAAATGTTACCTCCTCAAAAGTCTTGTTTTACCCACCACCCAAAGACATTTGGTTTACCATCATGGACTAAAGAAATCAGAAAATATTCACATTTGGAAAAGCTGAATTCAAATTTCTTCTTCAAAAATAATTCATAACTCTTGTTTGATTATCAAAATTGTTGCAATTAATTTAGTAGTTGACAACCAATCGCTTAATGGTTGCAGTTCTAGTGCACACAGTGATCATTGTCTGTGTATATATATAGAAACATAAACAAGACTGAATAATGAAATAAAAAGCAACTTTATTCTGAACCGACCAACATCAACTTCACAAACAGTGAATCACACTGCAACTACAGTCACAAAGAGTATGTACTAAATAAAAACTGAACATCCTACCTCCATGACCTTGGCCCTGACAGTGCCTAACATGTGCTCTAGGCACTGCGTAATGCCAATATTTGCTCCGCTGTTGACATGACTGTGCACTGGAATGACCTGACAAAGAAAAATATTTGTTATAGGCACTTTTCTGAGACTCATAAAACCTTGAATTCTTTGTTAACACACATACATTCAACTGAGTGAGACTTCAGACCTTTCCCAAACAAGAGAGCTGCGACTGCCAGAATCTCATTCGGCGCGAGGTAGAGAGGGCAGGATTGGTTGGGCTTGATGGTGCAATTAGGATGAGTGGGGATCCAGGAAGCTTGCTCTGAAAAAGAAGACAGAGAGGCACCTGGTCTTTAACTGTTACAGTTCATGAAGAACAAAGTAGATAAAAGTTTAACATGCTTTCTATTACAGAATGAGGTTGGTTAAGTGTTACCGGTTTGTTTTGGGACAGGACTCCGACAGCTGGGTCCCAGGGCCGTTTCAGTAGCAGTGACAGGGCCTCTGCACTTGGAGCGCCAGTCTTTGCCGATGTAAGCAACATTCTGTCAATCAGCAAGGGCAACTTCCAAGACACAAAGAGGAACAGTAATGAAACAAGAATCCTAGATCTTGCAGATAATGGTTCAGATGGTTATAGACATGCATCATACCTTGCTTTTGAGAGTCTGCAGCACATCCAGGTAAGCAGCAAGCATGGCAAGGCTTAAGGATTCAATCATGGTAGTGTGTAACCACTGTGTCAGTTTGGTGTCCCAGTTCACGCTGGCTAATGCATGCCGCACCTTCCTCGCACACTTGTCCACAGCTATCCTCCGCAAAATTGGCTCATTGGAAGCCTAAAAGACACAAGATCACACAAGAGACTCAGTAATATTAAATAATTCAATTACAGGTTATTCACAGCCATGCTGTAATTTAATCTGGGGCAGGAAGTAATGTCATGTGAACAATGCACATTTACAAATATGGCTTTAGTTACACATATCACATTATAGGATGACGCTTTGCTTTAACTTTAAAAAGGTGAAACTCAAAATAAAAGGGTTTCTTTTGATAATGACACATGATGGTATAAACAGCCACATTTATTGACATTTGGCAGTTGACCAGCTAACCTGTGGAATTGTTGATAATTAAAAACAACTATATGCATCATAAATCCAGACTATAACACTGATTTTGGCCAATAAAGAATTAGTGTGGAGTCAACATTTTATAATCCCATTATAGATCTACTCTTTTACATCAGGGTCAGTCCAAACCCGAGGTTTTAGTTACAAAAAACATGTGGTACTGTTTTACAAAGTCTTTCTCTGGCAAAATGATATGTTTACTCCCAAGAGAGTACACCGTTGTGCAACAGCCTTCGACATATGGTTGCACCGAATGACGGATGACAACCATCCACGTCCGTAAACACAATCCAACAGAGCAGTGACGTAAGCTATGTAAACTACAGAGTC